CAATTAAAAAAAAAAAAGAGTCCCAACCCTCCAAGTGTGTGCGGTCTTAAACACAAGCCCAAACACAAGAAACGGATCCGATAATGAGCAGCAAACAGCCGTGCAGAGCAGAGCTGTTTCCAGGGCGCAGGGGGCAGCCAGACACATTCGGCCCAGACAGGCCCACACAGAGGAGGAGGCCTGAGCAGCGTGGCTCACGGGCGCTGGACCACCTGGGCGGACTCCGTGGAGGAGGACTGACGAGGAGGCCTTTGAAGGTTGGGGACACTCGGGGGCAGAGATGGGAACAAGAGACCCAGGAGGGTAGGAGAGCAAAGGATATGCAGTCAAGCAAAATACGGAGCCCAGAGGACTGCTGAGTAGGTGATTTTTGTGTGAAGCCAGGTTTGGAGAGAGTGAGACAGAGGCCAGGCTGGGAGGAATCACTGCCACAAGGAGCGGAGCCTCACCTCCATCCTGGGCGCCCTGCCCTCCCTGTGGGGGAAGGTGCCTCTGCAAACGGCCTCGTCAGGAATGGTGTCGCCAAATCGGCCTCTGGAGGCCAACTGTTTCTTGTTTCAGTCATGTGTATGCTATTTTCAAGAGTAGGTCTAGCTTCAGATAAAGTCAAAACGATTGTGGTTTGCTAATCCTGCTTGAGCAATCATTCCCAGCAGCTGCAGGTGTAGGCCATACTGTCAACCTTGCCAGCCCTCCAGCCGACGTCGTTCAGTCTGTCAGTCACTGTCAGTCACTCGTGGTCAGCTAGCCAGTAAGTACGGCATTCAGCTGGCTCCTGGGCACTGTGCCCATCTACCTTTCTGTTTATTTCCCAGCACCTTCCCTGTATCTGCACACTGAGACATAGAGTGACATGTAGGTGTGTCACTTCTGCATGAGGACAGATCAGTGATGTCGTTGCCTCAGGAACTCGGGACCGAGTGACGGCTGAGCTGGGCCAGGCCCTCGGCCCTTGCTTCAGCTTCACTGACAGCTGCTGGCCTGGGCTGCCGTGACCTGGGTGCTTCTGAGCTCTAGAGGACATCAGTTCAGAAGAGACTCAAAGGAAATACGGTCACGTGCGGACTCTGAAGAGACACGCCGCCCCTCAGGGGATTTTTTGTCAGTCCCCCACCTAAGTGCTCATCTGGACACAATCTCAGCACTGGCAAGATTCCCGCAGTGACACCCAGGCCCTGTAGCACAGGCCCTTCCAACTGCCTCCCACGGAAAGCTCCGTTGTCTTTAAGTGGCAGACACAGGTGTTTCCTGGCTAAGGGGAAGAGAATAAGCACAGCAGCTCCTTTTTCAGGTAGGACCAGTGTTGGGGGTGGGGGTACCTGGGACCATCCTAAACCCTCGCGCTGCCCCAGATTTGAACATTATTGTGAGCACTTGTTTTGTCTGCCCGAACACTGTTCCCACCTCTTTGAGGGAACTGCTCACCATCCTCATCAAACCCTGAACCCCCGCCAACTCTGTGGGTCAGGCGGGAGCTGACACTCACAGGGTATGCCCTCATCCTGGCCAGAGGCCTGGGCATGAGACCTGGCTGGTCCAAGGGTAGTGCCTCACAGTGATTGGTCCAGGGGTGGGCACACGACCCAAGCCAGCCAATCAGAATTCTCCCCAGGATTTTTCTGAAGCTTCTTCTTGAGTCCTTTAGCTAAAAAGGACCTGTGCCTAGGCCTGCCAACCTTTGAAAGAAAATAATCCCACATGTAAAGGAAAACAGATGAGAGAGTCTGGACAGGGTCCAAGCCCCTAATTCCAGCCAGCCCCTCAGCAGCCTCCACTCCTCACCCCTGGCCTCCTGCCATTTGGTTTGTAACCTAAGCGCCTTACCTGGTACAAACCAGTGTACCTGCTGCCTGGGCAGAGCTACCCCTGCCGACATCTTGTGGCCATTTGGAAGCGACCAACTCAGTGTGTGGTTTGCCCAAACCTCTCGACTTCTCCTTTTTAGCTTCTTGCATCAGAGGTAGGCAGGAAAGACCAGGGAGGCCCGCTCAGTCCTCAGCAGATGCAGCGGGCAGTCCCTGAGGGTGAGGCCTGGGGCACCAGCACCTGCCATGAAGGGTACGCGCCTCATCTTGGGCTCTGACCCCCTTCACTCAGTGTTTTGTTACAGACACGCTCCGTACAGAGAATGTTCTTGCTTGTCTGGTAGGTAACTAACGTCAGGGCGGCTCCATGGGCTTGGCCTGTGCAGTCACCCAGGGCCCTGCACTCAGAAGGGCCTCACAGTTGGCTGAAGGCTCTGCTGTCACCGTCTTGAAATTCTTGATCCCTTTTGAACAAGGGGCTCTCTGTTTTAATTTTGCACGGGGCCCTCGCATTACGTGGGTTCTGACTCCAAGCACTCTCTCAGGGTGGCATTTGCGATTCCAGTTCATCTCTCCATTTCCCAGCACCCGCCCCCACCCCCCATTCCTGAGTGCCTCTTCCCCTGGCCCCCCAACAACTCTTCTTCCCCACAAGACACTTTTTTCCCGGAGGCGGGGGACCAGACAGTCAGTCACACAGGGTGCCGGCGGGCAGTCAGTTCAGGGACCCCTCTCTTAGTTCTCTGTGAAACCCTCGGAGCTGGGATTTGTTTTATCTGGAACGACGCCCACATGAGTGGCTTCTCTGGGAAGCGGCACTGGCATAAATGTGGCACAGCCCCGGGCGCCTCAGATCTGAGCAGTCAGGGACTCTGCTGCAGGTTCACACAAGAAAACGGCTTTTAGGAGTCTGTGTCATTGTTCTGAGATGAAGACTTTAAAAATCTAGCAAACAGCTAAGCAGCCTGTGTCCTTGGAACAGCCAGCAAAGGCATGTCCTTGCCTAGGGCCTCGCTGCTTCGCCTAGAAAAGGCGGATTCCAGCCTCCTCCCCACCCCCACCACACCCCAAGGGTGGAATAAGACTGAGTGAAGCAGCCATAAAATAACCTCAGTCTTCACACCCACAGTATTGAGCATGGAAAAGCCAGCCTGGGGGAACAGGCGGCCGGGAGAAACTGGTATGCAGTCGGACAGTGAAGAGTCCAGGTGTGGGAAAAAGTGATTTATTTTCGGCTCATGGTAACAGCTATGCAACTTAGAACAGTTCATTCACCTGTCCCATTCATGTTGTGTGTCACAAAGACATACCAAGACTTTGGAAGAAATTCCAAAGGTGATTACATTGAAATGTGGTATTTCTTCACTTGTTTTTGTACCTGTTGTAATTACAGTGACCCAAATAAAACAGCTTTACAGCTTACTGAAACTCAAACTTGTCCTCCAAGGAAGCAGTTTAAACATTTCCACATGTACATCAGCAACGCAGTGAGTCCACCGCATCAGGAGATGGACCCAGGAGACAAACACAGCTCTAAAATAAAGCTGGTTGTGTCGAAAAAGAAAAAATTAAAAAGTCACCAAAAATAATAAAAATTTTTCAAAAACCTATTGCCAAAAGAAAGAAAGAAACAAAGAAAGAAAGAGCAAGAGGGAAATTCACTTTATCTAGAGAGAGTGCCCTCTTCTGGACTGAAATCCCCAAATAATAAGGTACAAATGTGGCTGCCATGTCCTCTTTTGGAAAAAATAAGAGGCGAGGAACAGATCTGTCTGAAGCCATGCTAAGGATCCGGTTTAAAAAGCTGAACAGGATCACAGGCAGACACAATGTCCCTGCATCTCCAGCGGCAGCATCGACCATGAGTTTGAGGGCCCAGAGTGGATTCTCCCGGGGTGCACTGTGGGATATACCAACAACGCAGCCAAGTAACGCACCAGGAAGAGTTTCCCCTGCTCTTGCCAGTCCGCAGGAAGCTTGCAGGGGTTGGGAGCTGGTTTCCCCTTGGGAGGTGCCTTACAGTGCCCGCCGTAGCCCAGCCACCAAGTTCCTTTGTGAACAAACTAGCCGAGACCTGCAGAACTGGACTCGTAATCCAGAATGAATGGGCAGGCACCGCTTGGAGATGCCTGACACCGGATCCATGCTCTGGCAACACTGTTTGCAACGGTCATTTCTTGTCCATTACAAATGGGTGAATCACTTCTCCCCAAAACTCAGAGCAGTAGCTGGCTGGAAAAAAACACTAACAGTGCAAGGTGGCAACAAGCCTCCATGACGGAGACTCATCCCCGCTCACCTCTGACCAACATGGAGGTTTCTGAGCAGAAGGGCCTGGGCTGTGAGGTACGGCTCAGAAGCCTCAGCCAGAGAGGGCCCTTGCTGGGCTCCTTACCCCTGAGTCAACGGTGGGCGCGTGTGTGTGTGTGTGTGTACATGCTGTGTGAAGGGGGTGAATGCCCCACAGACAGGACCTCAGGACAACGTGCCCCTGCCACACCTCCACAGACCAGCACAGACACATCAGGGTGACACGTGGAGCCCACACATCACGGCTAGAACTCCGCGCTGCTCACACGATGTAAAATGGCCCATAGGAACACCTGCAAATGCCACAACCGCCACTGGCCAACTGACTACACATTCAAACATGATTTGATGCAATGAAAGACCATTTACCAGGATTTCTCAAACTTTTGCCGATGGCCCACACTAAGTTTACATGGGTTCACAGGCATGCACACATGTAACTAACAAACGAGTTTCATATGTACTTAGCCTGATTGTGTGGTGTATGCTCCGAGATTTCCTATTCCACTCCACTCCTGGTGTGACCCACTACATTGATCTTGTGGCCCATTTGTGGATCCCAGCTGCGGCTTGACAAGAGCAGCCGTGGAGTGGTCCAGAGGAACCCTGGGGGCCTGGCGGGGCTTGTAGCCTTGCACGCAGGAGAAATCATCTCCTCCACCGAAGCAGCCAACTTTCCTCTGCGGGTCACAGAACTCCAGCCGCAGCCCTATGTCATCAGGGAGTCACCAAGTGCCACCATGAGCACGAGTGAGGGTGAAGAAGCTGGCTTCCCTGACCATCCTTAAAGAAAAGGGCGCCCACCGCAGGTGGGACGACCCAGGTGTTAAGCAGGCAGCCACCGGTAAGTTGATGCCATCATTGGCGGTGGCTTGGACTCCCTCCCTACGGGTTTCCCACGGGTGCACCAGACTGTTGGAATCTCTGGATGAGAGCAATGAGCCTGGTGACGTCGGAGACAGCAGGGTACAGGGCCATGACACGGTCCACTAGGTGGGGCGGGAAGATGTTGCAGAGCGCTGTGCGCACACGGGCGCGTGCGTCCTGCTCACTGGCCATGGCTCCTGCCGCAGACCCCAAAGGCCCCCACAAGGCGCCTTCGCCCCAGCCCAACTCCGCCCAGGCCGAGCGTCCCGGGAACCGGGCGGCCCCATGCGGGAGGGCCCATGGGTCGGTAGGCGGCCTTCTCTGGGGTAGCAGGTCACTCTGCGGATCCCCGGGGCGGTCCCCAGCCCTCGCCTGGACCAGCGGTCCCGACTGGCTCTGGGGGCTCGGGAGCCCGGGCGGGGCCGGCAAGGACAGCGAAGCCCCGGGGGCCACCCAGTCGGGACAGCGCGACCCGGGCGCGAGGCTGCAGCTGGGGCCGGGAGGGGGCGCCCTGAGGATTCCCGGGTCGTCGCTGAAGGCGAGCCGCGAGAGGCTGTCCTCGAGGCCCGCCACGTCGGCCGCCCGCCGGGCCGGGTGTAGGCTGCGCGCGCCGGGCTCGCGGGCGCCGGGCCAGGCCGCGGCAGGGCCGCCCCGGGGGCCGCCCTGCTCCGTTCGGCCCCTCGGCCGCTCCTCGTTGGCGCTCGCGCCGCACCAGGTCCGAGTGTGGGCGCGAAGCTCGTCGGCCACTGCCAGCTGCGCGTGGTGCGGCCTCTCGGGGTGGTAAAACTTGCACTTGATGCCATAGGTGCATTTCTTGCCTGGAAGGGGCGAGGGAGAGAGAGAGGGCGCTGGGTGAGACTCGGGCGGGGTAGGCTGCGCTGCGGGTGCGGTGGGCAGGACCTCGCGTGCAGCGCCCGGGCCTCCGAGTTACCAGGTTTAGGGCCGGAAGAGGCGGCGTGAATGCGCTGGGCACAGGGGCGATGCACCAGGCTGCAGCGCCCGCCTCTTGGGGTATGGGGCGCTGGGCACAGTGACTCTGGTGTCAGGCGGGTGACTGTCAATCTGGAAACTCCCTTTGGCCAGGGAGTGGGCCCCAATGTCTGGATACAGTAACCACCCCCTCCACCTTCCCCGGGGGCTCTGTGGATAAGGCCAAGCTAGGGGGCGGAGGGGGGAGTGGGCAGTGGGTCCTTATGGCATAGGATTGTGTGTCCTGTGCTGCCTCAGTTTCCACCATTTGCCCATATCCCTGGGCTAACCGTTGTCCTCTCCCTACAGACTGTCCTAACAGGGGATCAAAGGATTTATCATCACAACCCGGGCACCCTTGGGAGTGAGAGGGAGCAGGATACCTAGACCTAAATGTATGTCACCTTAATTCTAACATGAAATGGCGCTACCTATCACCTACAGCTTTCGGAACTTCTAGGAGCACAGAAACCATGGCCTGGGGCTGTGAGCAAACCTGCCAAAACACGTCAGTGAGAGCTGCCTGGAAGGCTGGCTCCCTGGAGGGCTGCGGGTCAAAGCCTTAGCTCTCCACGGGAAGCGCCGACCAGCGTCCCTAAGGGGCAGGGGTGGGGGGAGGGGATGGGACACAACGCGCCAGGGCGAAGGGACGGGGGAAGGGGAACCTGGGGGAGCACGAAGCCCCCCTGCTTCCGAGACCAGCTTTGCCCTGTGTGTGACCCCAGGATCCAGCCCCCCAAAATACTTCCATGCAACAGGTGTCGCGGATGTCAGTTCATCCTTGTAATAACCCTGTCAGGAAACTGCCACTGAGACACGAGGCCCCGAACAGGGCCTGTGTGGCGCAGGGTGTCACCCACCATAGGGGCAGTGCTGCCAGGACGGCTCTGGGGGCTTTGGCTTCCTGCTCAGGAAGTTGCTCAGGGTGGGCCCCCGGCGGCCCAGGGGGTCGTCAGGAGGCATGAACCTGGAAAACAAGCACAGGGGGCCACTGAAAGACCAAGGGGACCCAGCAATCCACCTGCAGGCCACGCACCCGGCAAGGGGACGGCAGCTCAAGGCATGACCTTAGCCAGGCTCGCCCGCTGGGGCTCTTCCCACACCCAGGGGTATCTGGGGTGTAAAAGCAGCACAGCCCTTCCAGTCACCAAACACACACGGAGCGCCACACGGGTCTCAGGACGGCAGCCCCAGGGTCTCTTCCAAGAGCTTCTCCTGTTGAGGTTCAAGCAGGACCAAAACCACCTAGCGAGTCCTTTTCAAAGGCTGGCCCCTGGCTTCCTACCAGAGCCGCTTAATCAGGATCTCAGCTCTTTCAGGAATCTGCATGTTAACAATGCCTATGTAATTTTTATCTTCTCACATTGAAGCATAATTGTGCTAGGTTCCCTTGGGTCATAGTCTGAAAGTGGCTCTGAGCTGCCTTTCCCTTGTCCTCAGCGGAGAAAGTTGGGGACCTCCATAGGGCTACCAACAGCCCTCGTCCTCTGAGTTCCTTGAGGGTCACATCCCATTTCTGCAGCGTCATCCCCACAGCTCTGGGCACGTACAGGGTGGGCAGCGATATTAACAGAGTTTGGAACACCCGTCCACGAGTCAGCAAAGCTGCCAGTCCCAGTCTCCGGGCAGGTCTGACCCTCCTCTGCAAAGCCGGGACTCTCAGGGGTCAGGGCTCCGCTCCTGGGCCGCCTGACCCCTGCCACGTTCCTGGCTCACCCTGCCCCCGCCTGCCCCTTCCGTCTTCCCTGGCACTAGGTCTAACAAGGAAGGGAGTGCATCTTCAAGGGGCTCACAGCTCAAAGGGTAGAACAACATTCCTGAGGAGGAAAACTCTCCTGGCTCAGCGCCGTCCACTTTTTATATGAATACTTTTGTTCCCAGGAGACACTCCCAGGTCACAAACAGGTTCTGTGGGAAGGGTTGTGGATTCTGAACAGAGGGCCTATGTGTACAAGTTCGTGTCCCCCTAAGAGTCCGCGGCCGTGCTGAGGTCCCACCCTGCAGACCACGTCCGCCAGGCTGGCCCGGAGCTGGGCGGCCTCCGCAGCTCCGGTCCCTGCTACACAGCTGGCTTCTCAGAGTTGGGCCCCGACCAAGAATCTGGGGAGCTGCCCACTGCGGTTATTAAAAGTTCCCAAAGGCTTCACCTCCTGCTCTCTCCCAGCCTCGCAGCTGCTAGCTGGGCCAAGAGGGCCCTGCGGACGTGCCCCGGGTGCTGGGGTGGGCATCCTTGCCCGCGGGCCAGCGGGCAGGCTCTGCCTCCGGCAGCCAGGCGACCTTCTGGCACACCCTTAGCAGAGGCCTGTGCGTCAAGAAAAACTTGGCCTGGGCCCCAGGCTGTCACCAGGCCAGAGGCAGCCGTGATCTCTCAGGCCCCAGTGAGGGTTTTCTAGAACGCACAGTTACCAGACTTGCCAGATTCCTCCAGGTCTGAGCGGGGGAGAGGGAGCCGCCAGCCTTGTGTGTGTGGAAGCGACCATGGGAGCTGCCGCAGGGTCCCTGCTGCAAGCATCTGCCCTGGGGTCAGGGGTCCTGGACTTCCACGGCTGTGGGCCATGTGGCAGTGAGGGCAGCAGTGTCCCCTGGAGGCCCGTGGCCTGGTCTGGCCTGAGAATAACTGGGTACAATTCTCTCTCATGCTCACAACCAACTCACACATAAGTATGATTAATCCGAGTACAGTTAGTGCAACGTAAAGAGTGTTCCGCTCAGTGAGGCTGAGTGATTTCCCCACCTCACCTCCTGCCTCCCAGCACCCCAGCCCCTCCCACGATGCCACACTGCCTCCCGGGCTTCAGGGTCAGGAGCTGACCCGCCACGTGCAAGTGGCCGACCCCGTTGACACGTTGCCCCCACCCTCGCCACTCTCCCTTGCCCAGACTGCAGCCACTCACTCATCTACAACTAGTTACTGAGTGACTGTGACGTGCCAGGCATGCGTGGGCCATGGCACGTGAGATACAGTGCCCGCCTTCGCGGAGTTGGGGAGCTCATGGCAAGCCACACTCCCATAAGCCAGTCGGAGAGCCCAGAATGAGGACCGGGCCCTCGGGGCCAGAAACAAAAATGGAGGTGGGAGTGACGCCCGGCTTGCTGGGCCTCCCCACCTCGTCCCGCCCTGTGCTGGCCCCAGACCCGCGTGCACCTTGCAGGCCAGCCCCTAGGCCGTGCCCCCCGCATGCCTGAGCCCGGCCGCAGTGGACCAGCCATCGCTGCCTCCCCAGCTGAGCTCAGCCTCGCGGCCCTCGCCCAGCACTTGCTAATGCATTTGTGCCTCGCGACTCTCTAGCTGATTAGTCCGGGATGGGCCTGACCCAGGGGAGCCAACCTGGGAGTGAGATGAGCCAAGCAGATTCTCTTGAAAATTCAACCAAGAGGTTTTGAAACAGTCAGTTCCAAGACCTTGAGAGACCCAAAGAAGCTGCTGCCTACTGCACTATAAAATTCAAAACTTAAAAAAAAAAAAACAACCCAAAGACAAAAACAGTGAAACAAAGGACAACGAAGTTCAGATTTCCCCCCAATGACTGTTCCAGTGCTCTTCTTTGAAGTATTAGATTCTTTAAAGATTAAAACAAAAAGTTTGTGGTGCCCCCAAGCCCAAGCTTGGCCCACCTGCCGATACCTCTGTGCTGCGCCCACTGGATGTGGACACGGGAACAGAAAGGTCATGGAAAGCTGGGGCAAAACCGCCCTGTGGGAGAAAGCTGGTCACAAAAGAGATCAGCCAGAGACACAGACTGCGCAGCCTGGGGGAGCGAAGAGGGCCACCTCCGCCGGCTGTCCCCGGCCGGGCACCCTGTGCTTCTGGCACCATGTGCCTGTGCCTCCCGGCCCCGCCGGGCCTAGCCTAGGGGAAGGGGTTCTTCTCGTCCCCCCAACCTGCCCGTGCCAGGACCCCTCAGCCACCCCGTACCGGTCATTGACGAAGGAGAACATGAGCAGCCTCTGCTCAATGAACCACTTCCACTCCGGGTTCTCGCTTTGCAGGTCCCGGTAGTTGTCGTTGGAGACGATGACACCATCCCGCTCGTAGGCCACCTTGACGATGTAGCGGTCGTCGTAGCAGACCACGCGCTTGCCGTTCACCTTGCGAGACGGTGTGTACACGAGCACCGCCTGCCTCTCCAGCTCCTCCAGCACGTGCTGCTCTGGGGGCCACAGGGCGGGGGGAGAGCATGCAGGGGCTTTCTCCGATGGACTCCCCACCCCTCCTGGCCATCGCAAGATCACGGAGCACATTGGGCAACTCAGGGGTCCCCTCCGGGCCGGCGCATGCCTCCCCCACCCCATAACCCAGCACATCAGAAGGGTCGGGAGGGCTTGAACAGAATAAGCGTCAAGAGCGCCAGTGGCTTCTCTCTGCCTAAGTCGTTTAACACTGCGTTGGTGAGGTCTGGCCAAGGTGATACGATCTCTGCTTTGCACATAAGTCTCTGGGTACAGAAATACAAGGGTTTCTCTAGGAGTGAAAAGGCTGAGTTATGGGAAAAGGCACTTTGCAAGATAATGCCAGGTTGTTTTTCAGAGTGGTTATGTCGGGTTACCACCCAGCAACCCGACACAGCATCGAGGCGGCCCTTGTCAACACTAGGCATTTTCAGGTTTTTGAATTTCTGCCAATTTGGTGGGTGCAAAGTGGCCTCTTGTTGTGGTTTTGTTTTGCATTTCTGTAGCTACTAAAGAGATGGAGTATCTTTTCACACGTTTAATAGCCAATTTATGTTTTCTGTAAAAGACCTATTCATGCATTTGCTCATCTTTCTATTGGTCCTTTGTCTTTGTCTTATTAATTTGGAGACATTCTCTATCGATTCTGGACAATTGTCCTTCATCAGGAATATATGATGTACATATGATATACAGCATCTCCAGTTTGAGGCTCGCCTTTTCATTTAATTGTTCTTGTGGCAACACTAACGACCAGAGGCTTTCATTTTAATGTAGTCAAATATATGAATCTTCCTCCCACAAATTTGCACTTGCTGCGGCTTGTTTAAAAATTCCTTCCCTACCCCAAAATGATTTGCCTACTCTTCACCCATACTAGATTTAAATATTACGCAACTGTTGGAAGCCGGCATTCTCCATGTTCAGACCGTACAGAATAATCTGGGGTGACCAGTCCATGGTGGAGATCTGACCACAAGTACTCATGCCCTTGCTTCTCATAATCCCACTGAAATGGCAATAAAGAAGCACAAAGGGGGAGGGGATCCCTAATCACATTAAAAATGGGCTTGCGAGCCCTGACTGGTGTGGCTCAGTCGGTTGGGCCTCATTCCACAGTGCAAAAGGTCACCGATTCAATTCCAGGTCAGGGTACATGCCTGGGTTGCAAGTTTGGTCCCCATATGGGGCGTGTGCAACGGCAACCAATTGATGTTTCCCTCCCTCTCTTTCTCCCTCTAAAAATAAATAAGTAATTTTTTCTTAAAAAATGGGCTCGGAGACCGTGGTAAACCCAGGATTTTGATGCATTTTAGGAAGACAGAGAGCAGATAGGATTATATTGATCCTGCAGCACAGAGGGAGCCACAGACTAGAAAGTGTGCAGAAGGCTGAAGAGGAGCTGGAGCCGTTTTCTCTGAAAAGCCCCGGGGCTCCAGGTGCGTGGGGAGGGAGGGGAGTCGGCAGAGGGCAGGATGTGGCCGACTGAAGGGCACCCACGGGGCAGCTGCATCCGCCCTTCTCCTACGCCTGAGGGAAAGGGACACAGAGCTCTGACTTGGGAGAGGAGGTTCCCATGTGGCCTTTGATCACTTAGAGCAGCGATTTTTCAACCAGTGGGCTGCAAGAATCTTTAAAACATGCCTGTGTCACGGCACACTGGCTGACTACTGAGTGTCGGGTATTACATGTTTTAAAAATTCTTGCAGCACACTGGTTGAATATCACTGTCCACTGTCCTAGAGTAAACCCAGCATCATCATGGTGGCGCTGGCCGGTGTGGTGGCTGGAGCGCCCCACTGCCTGCCGGCCTGTGCAGGGCACACTGGAGAGAAATCTGCCCGTCACCACCAGGGGTCGGTCCTGCCATCAGGGAAAGAGCCACATTCTAAGAGAGAAAGCCCATGGCAACCGCACGGATAGTTTTATATGTAGATAGTTACTTAACCAATCTGATTTGTTGTTCACAGACTAAAAACTGGCAACCAAAAGACCACCAGACTTTCGAGAGGAAGAGGAAGACCTAACAGCACAAAGACAAGACAGATCTAGAAGGAGAGGTGAACAAAGAGAACTGGCCAGGAAAAAAATAAATATGTTTGTGGAACTCAAGAGAATTTGTGAAAGTGTATAGAAATAGTAAAGAATTATTATAGAAATAGTGAAAAAGATACTACATCCATAAGACAAGAGTAGCATTTTATTTAAAAAATAGAGAATTCAAAGGAGAAGTAGAAACAATTGGTAAGCACTCACGGTATTAAAAACAAAAACTTTTGGTAAAAAGGCTGGAAGACAAAGTCAAAGAACTCTCCCCGAGTCATAAGGAGGTCAGCTCTGCCATCATGGACACGGCTGAAACAAGGCCAATGGCTTAGCATCTCACTTCTTGTTATATTAAAATATTCCTATCTGACATTAGAATTAAAAATAAAGAACTCCCTGGATCTCTGTCTCACTTTTCTTTTTTTAATGAAGAGACTGGACTACAGATTCGATAAATAAATATACTATCACCAGACCGAATGAATGTCTCTTTCAGATTCTATATTCTACGAGGTGTGAATGCAGATCCAATCTTTCTGCAGAGTGTTAAAAGTTGTAAAACATAATTATTTTTGGAACTTAGCCATTCACACAAAAAGATAAACTTGTTCCTTCCTCGATTCCACAACTATATATTGAGCACCGACTCAGTGCCAGGTGTTATGCCTGGTGAGCATACATAGTCCGTGCCTTCACAGAGCTCATAGTCCAGTGAGGAAGACAGACATCAGCAAATAAATAGCTATGCAGATAACAGACCGAAAATAACTGTCAGGAGTACTACAGAGGAAAGGCGAACAGTACTTTGTGAGCACGTATCTGCCCCAGCATACCTCTAATAGGGGTATCAGCTCTTGGTGGATCTTTCCTCCAGGATGGGACAAAAACTTTGATGTAGGTGTGTCCTCTTTCCCGGAACCAGTCCACAGCCAGCTGGATTCCCCGGCAAGAGAAGGTTTCTTTATTTCCGTGGCTACAATGGGAAAACAAAGAATCTGTAGAGACACAGAAAGGGTTTCTAGAGAGTGCTTTCCCCCAGGAATATCCTGGATCATGGTTTCATAATCAATGGGAATCAAAGCTGCATTTTTAAAAATAGTTCATTCTTTGCACAAAATACATTTCTTAACTGGAAGCACGTAGCTTCTGATAGTTTGCAGAGGGTCTCACACTCCAGGGTGAGAGCGTTCCAAGGATTAATTGGCCAGATTCTCTTATTAACTGAAGCTAATAAGGATCAACATAAAGTGGAAGTGAGTAGCCACCTCAGAATACTCTCACCCTAAGAAAGGGTTGTAACTATGCTATTGGTCTTCCCAAGTCCAAGGAAGGAGGCCAACGTGCCCCATAAATTCCACCAAAGACATCGACGGTGGCAGGAAGGAGAGGAGGATGCAAGAGGAGGCTCAAGAGCAGGAAGAGCCTTGTGAGCCTTATCGAAGATTTGCTTGCTCCTAAGAGGAATGAGAAGTCATAGAAGGGTTTTAAGGCTGGGGGTACATGTGATGTGATATGATGTGATCCAATGTATGTTCAATCTGGCAGCACAGAAGACAACGAATTGGAAGGGAGCAAGCGTGGGTGTGGGGTACCAGTTAAGAAGCTGTTGTACTCATCAGGGCAAAAACAGATGGTGACTTGGGTTAAGCATGTGTTGATGCATAAGGGAGAAGAGTAGGTGAACTTGAGAGTTATTCTGAAGGTAAAATCTCCAGAACGTAGTGATTGGATACAGACATCTGGCTTGTGTAACTGGACGGTGGGTTTTTCTCTTCCTTCTCTGGAGGAGGACAGTGTTTAGAGGAAAAGACCTTGAGTTTGATCTTGGACGCATACTGAGTGGGAGGCACCTTTGTGACCTCGAAGTGGAAACGTTAAGTAAATAGCTCGGGTCCAGAAGAGAGGTCTGGATGGTGAAATGCATGGGTCATCTGGGTTCCAGCAGCAGCTGAAGCTGCCGGGTGGAGAGATGTGCCTGTGGAGAGAATGGGAGGCCTGGCCTGGCCCTGGGGACCCCAGGGCACTCAGCAGCTGACTACAGGTGCAGGAGGACAATTGTGCCGAAAGAGAGAGAGGACGTGATCCAGAAGAGGGCGTGGCATCACGAAAGCCACGGGAAAGACGCATTCAAACGCCGCTGCAAAGGACCGATGGGGCCTGAAAACAACCCTCTGACTTAGTGGTGTTTTGCTGCATTGATTTCAGAGACTGAGAATGTAAAATCGACTGAACTTAGCTGTGGGGGGCACGCAGCCTGGCCTCTGGATGAGATCACTCGTGCTCACTGCCTCCAGCTCAGCCACCTGCACCTCCCCCAGCACTCCCTCCTGCCCCTGCGCCTTCCTCTGCGCCCCCCACAGAGCCGCCACCAGCCCCTCCTCTCCTTTTGGCCAGTCCATCCCCCTCTGCCCTCAGGTCTCAGCTTTATGTCCGCTTCCTCAGGAAAGCATCCGCTCTAAACCTCTCGGATTCACCAGACGACCCCTTCTTTCCCGACGCTCATTACAGTCAACAGTCACACCTGCCACACCTGCCACGGGAGGAATCAGGCTGCTCTCTCTAAGGCACGTGTTCCTCCTGGTCCCCGTTGAACTCCCAGAGCCCCACACCAGGCCTGACCATTGGTAAGGACCAAATAAAAATGTGTTGAATAAAAAAGTGACTGAGAAGAAGCCAGCCTTGTGAACAACTGGAGCGGCCTCCCAGGCAAGGGGAAGAGGTGGCTGGAAAGACCCTCATGTGAGAAAGACTTGGAGTGTTTGGGGACCAAAGAGGGAACAGTGCGACTGGAGCCCGTGGAGTGAGCAAAGGGGACAGTCATAGGAGGTGAGATGGGAGAGGCAGGGCGGGTTCGTGGAGAGCCAGAGGTCAGCAGGGCCCTCACGCCATCCAGAGAGGCCCGGTCTGCAGAAACGGCCCCTGTCCAGACGAGGACGGGGCTTCAGATTTTCATTGCGGTGCTTTCTCTTGTCTGTGGCCTCTCCTGCTATTATTTCCTCAGAGGGGATAAGGATGGGTCCAGGTTTGCAAGGAGGAAAAAGGAGTGTTTTGAAACATGAGTCAGCAGTACTGGAAGTCAGGCTCAACGGAGACACAGAACTCTTGAGTTCCATCAGCTTCCATAGGTCAGGAACCAGGCCCTGCCGCCTACATCTCTCACGTCGTCCAGTTTAGGGAAAACAGTCCTTTGGCCATTGCGGCTGAGCTGTGAGGCGTATGCAAACAGTGAGGAGAAAATATCAGCGGCGCTGTCTCTGTTGTTAAAAACACACAAAAAAAAGAGGAAGTGGAAAGCTAGCCCCTTCCTCCCAGTGGAAGCTGAAAAAAGAACGGAGATGGAAGGAGAACGAGGAGGAGGAGGGGCCATTCACGGGTCCTCAGCCCTGCATCCCCCAGGCCTGCTCCCCACAACTGGGCCATGAGGACAAGTGGGTGCCCAGAGGAGGCTGAGGGCTGCAGGCCTCTCAGAAACTGCGGTCTCAGCGGGCACGGCCCCCCTCCCAGGGCCACAGGCTGCCTGGGGGGACGTGGCTGATAGGCCAGCGGGAAGCAGCACGCCTGGTCCCTGCATGCGCCCAGACCTGGCGGGGTGTCTGAGGCCTGGGGATGGGCAAAGAAGCCCCATGGGAGGGACAGCACTTTAAGCCAGCTTGACTCAAAAGCCAACCAGGACCAGTGACCTTTCTGGAAGCCAGGCCAGCCCCGCCACTCTGCCACAGAGCCCAGGGAGGGCCCCCCGCCCCCTCTTCCACCAACACCAGGTCCCAAAGCCCCCAGATGCCATTTGGGAGAGGACAGGGGAAGGGAGAGGAAACACGAAGCCTGAGCCTTCCAGAAGGCAGAGACACCGAGACATCATGAACTGACAACTTAAAAGTTTGCCCCTCCCCATGACCTAAAAGGTGGGGAAGAGATTATATCTATCCTAGAGAATAAGATCTGTTGTTACCTGAGCACATTGAAGCAGTAATGTGAACAACTGATGAGACCCCCACCCCTCCCCCCACCCCAAACACATGCATCTTTGGCCGCAGGGAAGTCTATCCTCAGTCGGTTCTCAAGTTAACATGTCACTACCACAGTTGCTTTTAAAAATTACTTCTTGATTGTTCTCTCTTCTGCGACTACACCACTGAAGAGCCCGCTTTCCTTCCCCAGTAGCTTTGATGGGTGTGTGGTTGCAGGGCAGGGAGAGAAACTGGCCCCAATCCCTGTGAGGCGGTAGAGGTGAGCAGGGCGCGGGTTCCGGTGACTCTGACCAGGACAAGAGCCGGCAGTGGCCCTGGCTGGGGGCATGTGGAAGGGAGGGGGGTTCCGGGGTTCGGTGGTTCAGCAGTTCCAAAGTTCAGAAAGAGCTGCCCCCATCAGCCTCAAGCAGCAAGCACCAGCCCCACGGCTTCCCTGACTCCAAGATGCGGACCCTCAGCCAAGGGTCCCCAAAGGGCAGGTGGGTTCCACTAAGACCAGGGGAAGCCTATCGCCCACCACGGCCCATTCCTTCCCTCCCTCCCTGAGACATGTCCTCCCCTCCAGCTTTGATTCCAGGCACAGGAGACCCTGAGCTGACCTGAGGGTCTGAGCTGACCCTTAGGCCCCCTAAGCTGGTCTCTGTGGAATAGAAGGTTTTCATTCAGGTCCATTTTCCGCAGGACTGAATTCCCACACACCCTACTCCTAAGCCTCTGGTCTCTTTTGGGATGGGAAAGATGGTCTATTGTTCCATCCTTGCCAGTTTTTGTTTTGTTTTGTTTTGTTTTTTTTAAACCAACCTCAAAACCCTATCACGGCTGCCCTATTTCTGGCCACAGAAAGCTCTGGGCAATTGCAGGATTGATGCTTTAAGCAGAAGCTAGCTCCTCCCCACGTGGGGGCCTATCTCTAAGAGGAGCGAGCAAAAGCCCCGGTCAAGCAATGAAGCTTGTGGTCACCCCAGAACCCACTCCCCACGTACAGAGAAACACCTAACCCAGAGGCTCCTCTCCATTTGTGCTTCCTCCATGCACTCAAAGTCCGTTTAGGAACATCTACTCCAACATGGCTCTGCGCAGGGCGCTCAGAGAGCTGTGCAAGAGACAGGTCTCACCCCTGCTTCTTGGAGCTCATTTCTAATATTTGCAGAGAGCCCTGTGTACAAGACCACTTGGCACATGAACCTCCTGTAATCTTTACAACGAGCCCTTGAGGAAGTGACCTTTGTCCCATTCTACCCTTGAGGAAACTGCAGCGAAGAGTGTGCCCAGCTCGCTGCTCTGGCAGCAGATCGCGGGGTGGGGCTGCAGACGCCTCTTCCCCTGTCCGCACGTATCCATTTGTCCCAGCCCCTCCCCAGCTCTGCCCCTGAAACCCACAGGGCAGCCCCTTGGGAGCCTAAGTTAGTGGCCACTGAAGTGCCCACACTTCTTGGGGAGAGAGCTTCCTGCTTATTGCCAGTCACTGTGAACCAGTTTATCAGGCAACGAGCTGAGAGTCAGGCCCTGGGAAAAGGAAACAGGAGTGGCAGCTTTTTAATAAAGGGCGGGTGGTAAGGGGAAGTGGGTTGGTGCCTGAAGACACATTTTGCCTACACGAGAGTCCTGTGCGGGACAGCCACAGTCAGAGTGTAGCCACTTACAGTAACTAGGCAATCTAACTGGGACACTGCTGTATCCTCAACTATTGCCCAAGAAGCCTCTGCAGAAATTAGCAGCTCATGGAACAGGCCCTTTGAGGTATGACATGAAAGGGAACACTGCTGTCTGTTTCTTATTTGGGGTCACGTCCTGAGTGCTCTGCACCGGGAGTTACAGCCCTTCTCACCGAGGGATCTCCCCGAGCTCAGGCCAGAAGGAAGAAGGAGGGCCAGTGGGGCTGCTGTGAGTGCCCTCATCCCACAAACAGAGGGGCGGGGCAGGCGTAGGTCGGAGCCCACGGCCAGCCTTGGCCAGAGGGACCTGGCCCCCGCCCAGGAGCTCACCTACCCCCTGGAACCCACTGAGAGGGGCCTGACCAAGGCCTCCCATGGCAGGCCTGCGCTCTCTCACGGAAGATTCTTCCCTCCAAAAGAAGCCAAATTCTGCTGAGGTTAGAAACAAAACAGCGGCTCAAACAACAACAAAAAAACCCTGTACCCCAAAATGAGGACACATTCAAATGAAACCCTTGCCTGGGGCAGTAAGAGGATGTGAAATTATCAGGTGGATTTCCCCCATGTGGATCCTTCACATCATGCCTCTCCTAAATTTGCCTACTGAATGTGCAGCTCTCGTGAGCCGGCCTGCTCCAGGCAAGGAAATGCTGGCAGCAGTTCTCCCTGGAGAACCAGTGTTTTTCCCAGTCACCCTGATGTGGCTTTTAGTGTGCTTTCAGTGAAAGCCACCTTATTTTTAAAGCCTGCCCGACATTTTTCTGAGGGCCAGGTATACCGTGACTCAGGATGCAGCTCACACCTCCCTCTCTCCCGTAGACCCACGCCACGGCACCTGCGCACCGCCGACGGGGTAGGGATTGTGCTTGGAAGCCAGTCTCTGTGATGCTAGCTGCTCAGAGCCACCAGGCAATGCACCTTGAGGCCCTGAGGGTCCCCAGAAGGTGGGCAGCGGCAGGAGAGGGATCCTGGGAACCAGGCCTGCGGAAAGCATCTGGGCTGCTGGTGGGGGATGGGAGGCTTAGCGCATCCTGTCGGCAGAGAGCAAGTTCAAGTCCGGGGCTCACCACAGGCAGGCTCTGGCCCCAGGATACAAGCCTGTGGGGTCAGGGTCTCTCTCCCACAGTGAGACCCCTTCCAGGGCTGGATGTGGGGAAAGCCAGAGGCACACGGGGCTGCAGGAAATGTAAGACTCTTGAAAGAACACGGACTCCAGAGCCCACTCAGTGCTCTGTGACCTTGGCCCAGCTACTTACTCTCTCTGTGCCTCTGTTGAAGAAGAAAAATTCCTTTATAAGAAAAATGCATTCATTTCTGTCAAGCTGTGCATAAAATAATCACCTTAAATCTAGAATGTTAGAGATGAAAAACCATTTAAGATTATTAGTATTTGGTCTCAGCTCATAAGCACAGAAACAGGGCTCAAAAAAGGCAAGTCACACCACGGTCACGTGGCTGCTAAGCTGACAAGCGAGGGCTGCACAATAGCCACTTCCCACGTGAGGCTGTTTGCACTGCATTTCCAATTAATTCTAAAAATTAAAAGTCACCTACTTGGCCATACCAGCCACATTGCAGGTGCTCAGGAGCCACAAGCCACGAGCAGCAAGTGGCCACCATAACGAGCAGCGCAGGTACAGAGCTTTCCATCGTCACAGGGAGTTTCAGGGGACAGCCGCAGGCTTGAGGCCAGAACTCAGATCTCACATTCCAAGCCCCATGTGCTGCCCCTGCTTCTGACCTGGTTTTCTACGTGAAATACAAGAGAGTCATCCAAACTCTGGGGCAGGCAGAAGGTCTGGCTTCCTGGGGCCCCATCTGATGCACTGGCGGCATTGCAAGTTAGAATTCTCATTGAAGCTGACCCATCCTTTATGAAGCCACCAGTCCTGTGTATCAGAGCCAAAGGGACTCCCTCTCCTGTTACAATGAGGAGCTGGAAGGCTTTCAGAATGGTTCTATTTAAATGACTTGAGGACAGTATGTGTTTCATAAAGCAGGCCCATTCTCATGCTCCAAGCAAATGTATCCCCACCTCTTTTAAAAAGCACTTGGCCAGGGACCCAGCTGTCGAGTGGTCGTCCCAGGCCCCCTGGGTTCAGCCACTACAAACAGCCTCAGGCTGCACATTCTGAAGCTCTGAGGAGAGAAGCCCATGGAAACTTCTCTGCAGGGTGGGGTGGTTGGAACACAGGGACGGAGGCCCAGATCTGATGGAGCCAGAGCTGACCACGGCCAAGCCAGTCTAGTCCCTCCCTGAGCTTCTTCCTCACTAAGCTGAGAAGGTCAGATGTCCAAGTTCTAACATTCTCTGTGCCAATGGAGGGCCCGTGGCTTGGTGCCTCCCATAAAGCATGACTTATCTATAGTTTCTCATTCGACATCAGTGGTTCTTTACATGTGGGGGGTCACAGACCCTTTAAGTACCTCCTGAAAGCTGTGGATCTTTTCCCCAGAGAAATACATATATGAACACACTTGCCACATTTGTGTCTCACTTCAGGACACTGCTGGCTTGAGCGCTAAAAGGGGGCACGAGCCAAGGAATGCAGACTGTCTCTAGAAGCTGGGAAAGGCAAGAAAACATGTTATCCCCTGGAGCTTCCAGAGGGAACAGAGCTCCTGACTTCAGCCCAAGGAGACCTATGCTGGACTCCTGAGAACACACATTGAGAACACCCACTGAGAACACCCACAAATGCATGTGTTCTGGTTAATTGAACACATTAGGTGTGAACACATAAAGCAGCAGGTGTGTGATGTATTTTTAATAATACCCTGAGTGATGATTTTCATTTGCCACTTGCACAGATTGAACATGAAGGGATTAAACTGATTACAACTGTGGGAAGTGTGAGAGCGGGACTAGATGGATGCAGCCAGAACACTCACGGTCACGTGCAAATAGAGGATGTGGTTTCAATTTGAATTCCAAGCAGCAACAGAAACTTTCATCAAAAGAAAACCCTCCACCACCACCCTATCATAGCAATTCCTAAAAAATAGTCCCCAAAGAGTGGATGCCTACACTTCCCTGCAGCACCTGAAGGAGCCTTTTCATCCTGCAGCCAGTCTGCTCTTTTGACCCGGCACTGCAGAGCTCAGAAAAACTCTGGCCTGGAGGGGTCTTCGATTTCAGCAATAGCCTCTTGCATTTCTGTTGATGCCCAGAGGGAACGGTGCCAGGTCAGACAGGGGCCAGCGCCTCTCTCACAACCCCTCCAGGGGCGCTGAACCTCCAGGTCGGCTATGGATGTGGCCTAACACAAAATCGTAAATTTACTTAAATTTTTTTTTTTTTTTTTTTTTTTTTTTTTTTGCTCATCAGTTTTTGTTAGTGTTTGTGTATTTAATGTGTGGCCCAAGACAACTCTTCTTCTTCCAGTGTGGCCCAGAGACGCCAAAAGGCTGGACACCCCTGCACCTTCAAAGCCTACTAGATTCTTAAAAAGTCCCTTAACTGACCCAGAGACCTTGAGTAAAACAGGACCTCACAGGCTCGCTGAGCGCCTGTGGTTGAATGTTCTAGAGACCCCTGAGGACCAGTTTCTAAGTCCTAGAGAAGGAAGGGCTCATTACGCACTCGGATCTAACCCAGCCCAGGGAGCCCTGGCCGGCGGAAGCTGACCCCACACACACCGGGCAGGGCGTCTAGGAGAAGTCCCTAAGGCTGTCCCACCCTGGGGTGGGCCATTCCAAACCTGGGTCCTGCCAGGCCAAATGCTAGGTGTGACCAAGTCCCCAGGGAAAACCACTCAGCCTGTCAGCCAAAGTGTGCCCTCTTGACACATTCAGCAGGCTGATAACACGGTTTTTCTCGATTCCCACCCACCGCTCAGCTTTTGAAAAGGGAAGCATATCTGTTTGCAGCTGTGAGTGACCAATTTCCTATGGCTCTGCCCTTTGCTCCGCTGTCACCCAGCCAAGTAGTAAAATAATGCGCTTGTTTGGTCAATGCCTTCCCCTCACCCAGCAGGGAATGTGGGGGAGGCTGCAGAGAGCCTCTCACCGCTGAACTTGGCCTTGCCAGGAAAGACAACAAGGCAGGGCATGACCTTCTCATCGCAGACACACACAGACACTAACCACCACGTCTGCAGCCTGGGGGGCGTGAGCTCACCTCTCAAACCTACCTAGAACCCACACCCCCGCCCCTTCCCTCGCATAAGCCCAGCGGAGGGCTTCCAACAAAATTCAAGAGATTTTCCCGTCTAATTCTCACACCCTCGAGGGAAGCAGAAGTGCTATCCATTGGCCTGTGTCACAGAACCGGAAACTTAAGAAACACCGCTTTCCCAGAATCACACAGCTGGTTAGGGACAGAAGGCAGGCAAGAAGCCGCTCCTCCCCAACGATCCACTGCTCTCCTCACAAAAGTGCCTCTCTCTCTCTCTCTCTCTCTCTCTCTCTCTCTCTCTCTCTCTCTCGGTTAATATGATAATAGCTGCCATTTGTCGAACCCTTGCCCTGTGGCAGGTGCTGTCTTAGGCATGCCATGCAGCTCCCTTCTAGGAGGTTTTGTACCAACATTACCGATGGAATAAGTAAGGCTCAGAGAGGTGAAGTGACTTACTTTAGGCCACACAGCTACTAAAAGGTAGAAGAGAGATTCAAATTCCCAGCCATTGGCCCCAAGTTGTTTGGACCAAACCACTGAAAAGGGGGATAATTCTCCCACCCCTCCACTACGGGATGAAGAAAGCTACCTCATTGCCACGTTGCTGCCGTCAATCACGATGGGTCTCAAGGAACTGGCTGGGTCTCCACAGTCCTCCTCCGGGTCAGCCCCCAGCCCACGCTGGGTGGAGTCCAGGGTCCCGCAGGAGCCCCTGGGAACCAGCAGGGGTGCAGGGCTGCCCTGGTGGGCCCCAGGGCGGCTGCCAGTCTGGATCAGCTCCTGCAGCACGTCGTTGACCAGGGCGCCCTCACCCAGTTTGTCCAGCACCCTGACCACATCCTCCCGGTTGTAGCCAAGCTTCAGGAAAAAGTCCATCTTGCTTGAGTGCTCCATGCTGTGCCAGCCAGGCCCCTGGCAAGGGTCTTGCCGCCCGCTTCCTCCTGGCAGAGCCCCACCGGCATGAGCTAAAGAGAAAAAGCATCCATCAGGTATTTTCTGGGCAGCCTGGCTGTCAGGTTACTGAGGGTCTGCGCTCCCTTCACATCTTATCTGTCAGGAAATTGTATCGAGGACGCGTGGTCCGTTTGGGGATTTTCAGTTGCTCAGTGTGGTTGGGGAGCCACAGATGCAATCACGCTGCTTTTACTAGTGCGCTCTCTCCCAGGCCTTCGCCCGACATGGCGCCCCCACCACCCCCGCATCGCCGGCCCAAGGCACCAAGGGCAGCTGAGAAGGCCGCCCAGGGCTCTCGGGATGCTTGTACGCAGGCCGGAGAAATGTTTCTGAGGCTCTGTTATGGGGTGACATGTGTCCACCCCAATGCATATTTTGAAACCTTAACCCCCAATGCCTGTGAATGTGACTATATTTGGAGATGGAGTCTTTATGACCTGTGTAAAATGAGGTCATTAGGGTGGACCCTGATCCAACAGGACGGGTGTCCTTGTAAGAAGAGAATTGGACACGGGCTGGTACAGAGAGGAAACCACGTGAAGACTCAAGGAGAAAGCAGCCACCTGCAAGCTAAGGAGGGAGGTCTCAGAAAAAACCAACCTTGCCCACACCTTGATCACATAATCAAGATAGCCAAGTCTGCGGTGTTGTGTTACGGTGGCTCTTTAAACTCCTCAGCTTAAACAGGGAAAAATGGCCTCTAGTTAATTCTGTTCCCAGCAAATGCACCCGAATCCAGCTCTGTGTACTGGCTCGGCCTTCCCCAGCAATTAATTCAGACCCTACTGAACCTCTAAAATAAAAGGTCCTGAGCCAAATGTGATTCCCCTCTGCCCCCCCGCCCCCTATCTCTGCCCGACCTACACTTTTCTGGAGGTGGGGGGCGGGGCGTGGGGGTGCAGGCAGGGCTTGCAGCCAGATGTTTACAAAAAGAAGACGATGAAACCAATAGGAACACTCTGGACATACCAGGTCCCCTTCTCATCCACCCACCAAGAGCTACATCTTTCAAAAACTGTTTTGAAAATACAAAAATAATCATGCAAATAAATTCACCGTGAAAACTTGAAACAATGCAGAAGTATAAGGATAAAGAGAGATATTGTCTCTTCATATACAACCCAAATCCCACTTGCCTCTCTTGCTGAGTATTTGTTTACGCCCTCCCAGTATTTTTTCTATGCATTTACTTGCATATGTAATAGATACACACGTATATTGTTTAGGAGGATTGTTTTTACTTAAACAGTGTCATACTGTATGTAATGTTCAACAGCTTGCTTTTCTTAATAAAAATGAGTTTTGGAAATCTTTCCACACCTGTTTATCTGTACCGCAGTCCCTGCATCTCCAGCATTCGAACAGGGGCCTGGCACACCTGAACTTCAGTGCATTTTTAGGATGGATGGATAGAGGGAGGGAGGGAGGAAGGGATGGAGGGAGTTTAACCATATGCCAAGTGATGAAAATTTAGATTGTCCTCCATTTTTCCCGGTTACAAACCATTCTCCATGGAACATTCGTGCCCATCGATCTTGGCCTTGACCTTCCGCTCCTAGCCTCCCCCTCCCCCTGGACCCCCCTGAAGTAGTCACATCTCCCTTCTAGGTTGCCAGCTCGGCTTTGCATCCTCACGCTGGGCCTCTGCCTGCGTGCTAGCACCCAAACAGAACCAACGGTGACAGGGGCTGGCAGGTGAAGGGCGCTCCTCAGCCAACCTCGTAGACAGAGAGGCCGCTGTCCCCATGGGCCACCCCCACTCCGCCTGGGCCCACTGACGGCTGGAACCCCCAAACTGCGCCCCCCGTGCCGCCGTCACAAGTGACCACTTCACCGCCAGCTCCAACAGCAGCTTCATATTCCTTGCCCCTATACAACCTCTCTGCTGCATTTGACACTGTGGCCCACTCTCTAACTTGTTACTTTAAATCAAAATTTTTTGGAAAGCCTCCTGCTTGAAACTCTTCTCCCTTAGGTTGTACAGCTCATCCTGAGTCTCTTCCTAAATCTTTCCAGCTCTTTCCTTGGCCTCTGCCGCCTGTTCAGTGGCGAGGCCCTGCCCAGGGCCTCATCTCTCCCCACTTGCCTTCCGCCAGCCCCTCTGTAAGTGAGCCCGTGGTGGCTCTGCCGGCTCAGGCCCCTTGCTAAGCACCAGGTGCACACAGTCATAAAGCTGTGAAATAAGTGCCACACGTGCTCTTTGAATCAAATACTATGGGACTCAGAACACTGTCATTCAGCAGACCTTTGCTGAGTCTACTTCAGTGTGGTTCTCAAAGTGTGGTCCCAGGAAACTTAAGGGGACCCAGGACCCTGTCAGGGAATTTGCTGAGTTAAAAACTATTTTCATAATAATGCTCTCATCCTCTCATGACTGTACCATGAAGTATTCCAGAGACTATACATCGTGAGATATTGCACTAGTTTGATGCAAGAGCAGATATGAGATTCCAACCGTCTTCTATGAGGCCAGACATTAAAGAGATTTGCAAAAATGTACACTGGTACCAGCCTTACAAATTTTTTGGTTTTGGAAAATAGAATTCTTTTTCATAAAAATATGCCATTTATATTAATGTAATTAGTTAATTATTTTTAAATGAATGTTTTTTAATTTCTTAGTTTTAGTTTCTAATAAGTGATAGAGAGATCAAATAGAGAGATAGATAAATAGATGAACCCACATAAACAAAAACTTTTCAGGGTCCTTAATAGTTTTTAAGAGTGGAAGGTTGATTGAAAACTAAAAAGATTTCTCTTAACTCCAAAGTTTCCCGATAAGTATGTCCACATAGATGGGTCTGTGTGGGGGCCTCCAGACGTGTTACCCAGGGCCCCAGGACAGAGGCCCAGCATCACTCCCCCCTGAGTGTGGCCCCCCAGCACACTCATCTCCTACTGCCCACCCACCCCACCCCAGCCTCAGCCTCGCCCTCTTCGCCCCATACCCAGCGCCTGGCAGCCACCTCTGCGGGTTCCCTTCTGCAGCCCCATCTGGCCCACCCCCATTGGTAGCCGGCATCGCATTTCTAGAACAAGTCGGACCATGTCCAGCCCTGCTTAGAAATACCCTCTGACCCCGTGCGGACTACAGGAAAGGCACCAGTCCCGGAGCAGGCCGTCCCGATGAAGCGCTGGTCCCAGGCCACCTCACCACCCACCGCTGGCCAGCCTGCTCTTTCTAGAGCCACAGTGAGTTCCTCCCTACTCCCCATGTATTCCAGAACATTCTCACCACTGTGCTTCTGTTTATACTTTCCTGACCACCTGGCATGCTCTCTGGTTTGGCAAACTTCAAGATTCAGCTCAAATGCCGCTCCAAGCGGCCATCCCTAACTCCGCAGACAGAATGCGTCTCCCACAACCCCACCAGCCACTTTGTTCGCACCTGTTATGACACACTGAACTGTCATTTATCTAAATATTTCTCAAGAACCTGTGAAATGCATTCTGGCCCTTTTGCCTCAGAATCACCAACACCTGGAATAGTGCCCAGTCTAGCTGAGGAGTTTAATAGGTTTTTCTTCAATAAATGTCCAAAGCTGGAAGTATCTTCTCTCCTCATACATTTTTTCCCTTGGGTTCTGAATCTCATTGAACAGCATCTCCAGAGGCCCAGAGAAGAAACCTCAGGCACCGTTGACTCTTCCTTTCTCTCACTTCTACATACAACTGGCCATTCATTCTACTTCCCGGACATTTCCCATAACCACCCTCTCCTTTCCGCTCACAGCCCCACCACCCTAGTCTGTTCACTCGTTCACGTAACAAACACTGGTCTCCCACTAGGCTCCCAGCACTGTGCTGCGGCCCAGTCCTACGAAAGCAAAACAGTACACAGCCTCATTTCAATTCGTTTACAGCCTATTTGGGAAAACAGACAAAAAACGTAAACAATAAACCATAAGTTATGACGATAAACACAGGTAGTTCTAACAGAAAGATGTGTTTTCAAAACACGGGTGAGGAATGGCATATCTTCCTTTGAGGGGAAGGAGCGACCCGAAGGGCCCTCACAGACCTGGACAGCGGAGGAGGAACTGGCCTTTCCCAGTCGGAGCAGCGCCACGTCCTCTCTCCCAGGGCTTCCAGAGAGCCCCCTACAAATGCTCACCCACAACTCCAGTCAAGCTAGTGCACTGATCAAAGACACCTGTATCTCCTCCCAAAGGTCCACGCGCCTCCATCCTCTGCAGAGTGAAGGCAGCACTCAGCAGTGCAAGCGGAAGGCCCCTCACCCCAGGGGCCAGCTCACTTTCCGGTCTCCTTGGTCACATACCTCCAGCCCAGCCTCTCCTTCTTCCTTTGACTAGTGACCCGTCCCCTCTCAGAACGCTGTTCCCTTGGGCTGGGGTCCAGCTGGGGTCCAATCTCCATGGAGGAGGAGGACACTCCCCCCATCTGGCATCCCAGCCTCACGCCAGGGGTTGCCCACTGTCCCCGAAAGGCCTGTGGTCTCTCAGGCTCTTCCTTCTGCCTGGAGCACCGGCCCTCCTCCCCCGACCTGACCCCACTGCCCTGTCTTCCACGCAGCCTGCCCAGTGTCCACACCTCCAGCTCCCGTCCCGTCCTCCCCGACCCTGCCCCGCTAATGCAGGCATGGGAGCACTTATTTTGGTTTGGAAGAATGAGGAAGAAGGGAAGGGAGAGGAGGAATGGGAGGGAGAAAGAAAAGAGAAGGAACTAAAGTCAGAGAGAAGGAAAGAGAAGACAGACAGAAACAGGCAGCACGAACACAGTTCATTTCACGTGGCTCCTCGTTGTTTCCAAGCTGCTTTCATGTAGAGACTCTTCCTTGAACTTCCCGTGATCTCTGGGGGGCGAAGAAGCCGAGGCTCAGAGAGGTGCTGAGGAGAGGTTACACAGCTAGTCGGTGGCGGCCACGGACGATAGGTGCATGCCGAAAACAATGTGTGGCTTTGAGCAGAGATGGAAAAATCAAAAGGTGACCAGGTCAGGTGACTTCTCTCTGGTCACAAAGTAATAGCTACTAGGAAAGCCCATATTAGTT